AGTCCAATAGTAGTCTGCAAGCATGGAAGGATTCCACTTTCCCTGGTACCTTTTTTCCATTGTTCAAATATCCTGATGAAAACGTTCGCCGTGCTCATCACTTACGGCTCCGCAATTGTCAGGAAAAAAGTCCAGGTGTGAGTTTAGGAAATGTATCTTAAGAGACATATTACAGCCCATCTTTTGATATGCAGTGGTGGTAATAAAATTTTTTTCGAATCTACTAATGGCATATGCTGTACATTTTTTTGACCTGGCTCTAGGAATTGGCGAAAAGGCCAGTTTTGTCTGGTGTAATGAAGTGCCTTTGCCCGACTGTCCCATTCACACAAAAAACAGCAAAACTTTGTGTAGCCTAGCTGCAGCCCAAGTAAAAGTGCAACAACTTTCAAATCACCACAAATACGCCATTGGTGCTCATCGTATTTTATGCATGTCAATAGGTACTTCATATTGTCATATGATTCTTTCATGTGAACTGCATACCCTACAGGAAGAGATGGTAAAATGTTTCCAATATTTAATAACACTGCCTTTAAACTCAATGTTGAACTGTCTATAAACAATCTCCATTCTTCTGGGTTATAGTTTATATTTAAAGCCGCCAGTAAGCCGTTAATGTTACTGCAGAAAACCAAGTTATTCTCCATATTGAAAAATGGTTCTAAGTCTTTGTGGCGTTTACGAAAAACACATACCGAAACAACGTCTTCTAACAAGTTCCACTGCTGCAGTCTTGATCCAAGTAACTCTGCCTTACATTTTGGAAGTTCTAAATCTCTTACAAGATCATTTAATTCTGACTGTGTTATTTTGTGCGGTTGGTGGCATGATGTGCTCGGTATAAAATCAGGATCTCTTGACGTTGATGGCATATCTTCTTCCTGACGAATCACTCGATCGCCATGATCTGATTCGTTTTCTGATTCATAAGTGTAGGATTCTGGGGGTTTTGGAGTAGGATTTTCGTCACTGTGAGGCACAGGTCTCATCGCACATGGTATGTTTGGGTAGTTAATAACCGATTTTTTTTTTCTTGGACATACCTGTGGCTTGTCCAACATAAGGTACCATGCAAAAGTAACAATCATAATATGATTGTAGGCTCTCTCCAACCATTGGGACAGCAAAGCGAATAGACCGTTTTTTGCCATTTAACCAGCTCCTCAGACTTGAAGCACATGTATTACAGCAGATGTGGGGTTCCCACTGTTTGTCTAGATCACCTAGTTTACAACCGAAATAAAGCTGATATGCCTTTGTTACTAGTGGAGTAATAGACCGTCTCTGAGACGCAAGAGTCACATCACCACACACGTACAAAACTGATCTGGATTGTTTACACACTTTCGAGACATCTTGCATGAACGCTGTCAGCCAACTGAGGAAAAAATGGCTAATATAAAACAATATAATGTACACGTATGTATAACTAACACAATCATGCCGATTACATCATCTTTCCTTGCCGAATATAAAAATGTAGCACGTGCATTCTTGTGAATTACAGTATATTAACACTGTCACAGCAGGACCACATATAATAAACGTATCTCTAAACTTGAACTAATATTGAAAAAATAAGTTTAATTCCGGTTTTAGCACATTAAAATAGTAATATTTTGTTGATTTATTTAGGATATTTTTTGGCTGTTGATCAGTGTTATGGCCCATATTTGGTAATTCTACTACAGATTTTACAATCTCCTCAGGTGGAGTTACAAGCGGATTCAAGGACACCTAAGGGAGTCTGAGTTGATCCAACGATTTCAAAGAATTTAAAGGATCTAAGGTGTACTTTGAGACTGATTTCTATTAATTTTATTCAGAGATGCATAAATCGCGAGCTTCTGGACTACCTCGAACGTCACAGCTTGATTAGCGACAGGCAGTACGGTTTCCGGCACCAGCGATCCACAGGGGACCTCCTAGCGTAAGTCACTGAGTTGTGGAGTAAACTCAGACTCATGTCGTTGCTCTTGATATCACGAAAGCGTTGGATCAGCTGTGACACGCTGCCCTCTTGAGCAAACTTCCATCCTATGGCCTCCCAGAGAACGTCAACGCGGGTGTTCCCCAGGAATCGGTCTTGGCTCCAACACTGTACCTTTTACGACCTCCTTTCCTGTACAATCAACCCAACCCACAGCTTTGCCGATGACAGCACTCTACATGCAGGAATTTTGAGCGACAAGCCGATCTCTTCCAGCGAGTTTAAAAAAAGACCAGCGGCGACAGCGGTTACAAACGGATTCGAGGAAACCAATGAATTTTATTAATCGAAAACACTATCGGAAGATCCGACACTAGTATTCCTAGCTGGCATCAGCGCGTTAACGGTGCCTTGGCACGGTAGTTGGAGCGCCCTCTCGCGGCTAATGCCAACCCTAATGAAGCCTGGCGGACCTCATCAACGCTGATTAATTTCTCGTAAATTTTAATTATTACCCGAATGGGTAATACGAACCGAGCTGGTTTGATTTACGTGCGACGATTTGATATTTCATGGGCTGTAGTGCGGTCGTCCAGTCAAAGTGGGACCAGTTTTCAATAAAAACAGGTTATTTCTGTACTTCCCGCATAATTCTATACACAAATCTTACTCCAATTAAAGCCTATTTCTCGAGTTGATTTCAGTACTCGGGTTTCGGGGCTTCGGTATACGAGGTCTGTAAATTGAGTAATGAGACTGGCAACGTAGCGTTAGATCTGGCAACACTGGAGGCGCCAGATTTCAGTACAAGTTCGAACTCGCTCGAGTCATTTGGTTATCCGTAGCGAATTTTTTTTGTGAAACAGTTTTTTTGTTCTTTCTTTGTCTCTGTTAAAAATGAGTGACTTCGAGCAGCGGTGTGCTTGTCAGACAACAATGATAAACGAGTTTTTGGCCAGCAAAAACATTCGTGTCGCTTCTCCGTCTCCGCATTACGTCTGACTTTATTCCTTATGACCTTTTGCTCTTCCCGCAGTTGAAAAATCATTTTGGAGCAGCCGAAAATATTCAAACGGCTGTACGAGTAACCGACCAGCTGAAGGCTATTCCAATATCGGAGTTCCAGCACTGCTTAGACGAGTCGAAGAACCGTATCCAGCTCTGTGTGAAGAGAATAAAGTTATTTGAATGTGGCCCTGAATACCATTATTACAAATAAAAAATACTTCAA